CCCCAAAACCCCAAAACCCCAAAACCCCAAAACCCCAAAACCCCATATATATAAATCACAATAGAATAATTAAAGTATTATAACTAATGGAGGTAGAGAAAGTCACTGAAGGCAATAGAACAGTCATATGTTTTGAACACAATGTATACTTCAACTATCTCACAATTTTAGAACCAAAAACAAGAGCTTTATTATATACCAGAGAACTTTGATCAGCTGATTGAGGAAGTTAGTACTTTCCTTACAGAAAAGTAAGTCTAAAGACAGATCTGAGGGATTTCTGATTTTTTTAAGAATTAAAAACAGCTTTTGAGAAACCTTAACCATGCAATATGACAGAATAGGATTGTTAGCTTGCCTATACCCAGAAATTTGATAAATGAGGTCATCATAAAAATTCCAAATGAAAAGTTTATGTCTTTTACTAAATTCTTGCATTTTAGATGAGGCTCAGAAGACCAAGACATGAGACTGTTTTACTATGATTTTGATAAGGATAAAGTTAACATAAGAAAGTACTCAGATTTTGAATCGGCTCTAAAGTACTGCGACAGGAATTGCATCTATTTGTTAAAAATATATCTAAAACCTCAGACAAATGATATCTCTAGTGATGAAGAGGCTGATATTATTCCTGATGAGGATGCTATCCCAAACCACGTGCCCGAGCACTCTATTGATAAATCAAATTCACGTAACAACAAAGTCTTCTCTCATGGATTTGATGAATACGCTTTAAGGCAGGATGAAGAGGAGAATGCTAATTTAATGATGGAGAACTCCAAGATTAATGACAACTATTTTGATTGCTCATACTCTAAATCAGGGAAAAGCTACAGCGTTCTCAAGCCAGCCAGTATTACATTAATAGACAGGCTTGACCCAGATGCCAAGCCTAAGTCAGGTGTTGTCAAAGGTTGGTGGAGTAAAGCAACTAATTCCCTCGGGATATCCACTGAAAGTAGGGAAGAACTGTCTGAGTATGCTAGAGTTACTAAATCCATCCCCATTCTTGGAAACGAAGATATTATATTAGCAATCCCAGGCTCTGTCGTGAAGAAGACATGGAGAATTTCTAACAAATAGTGGTAACCTTTTGTGGTAATTTATAGCACTTAAATGGCCAAGTGGGATAAAAATGATCGCAAAGCCTGACTATGTTTGAAATACACCTAATATTGATATTGAGTTAGAGAATGGAGAAATTTGTGATCTTAGTGTCAGGATATTGGTACCCATTACCCAGCCCGATGACTCCTTAATAAATATGGTAAGTTTGTACCCTCAGTAGTAGAAATTTGTTATGTTTAATAAGAGTAATAAAAAATTTGGAGAAACTCTTGATGTTACCATCCAAGTCGACCGGAATGAATTTTTCATGCAAAATACCAAGCTAATCAACGAAAAAGATGAATTCACAACTGATAGAGTCACAAACAGGAAAGACATTATCCAAATGGTGAGATACAATATAGATGAGAATGATTCAGATGGCCCTGACTCTCTTATGATAACATAATAGACATATAATTAGAGATTAGCTCTTCTCACTGAAACCCAATTAATTTCAACAATATTGTAAGAGTTGGGGTTTTGGGGTTTTGGGGTTTTGGGGTTTTGGGG